GAACTCGTATTCGACCTCTTCAGTCACGAGGATCTTAATCGTTGGCTACGGCATGATAGTCTCGGCAGCGAGGCTGTTGGCTCCCACTGTGGTCGCAAGCTGGTTTGGGTAGAAAATTGTATTCTTTATTGTATAACTTATTACAACTTCGATCATTACAACAAGTTCAAAAAGATCAGTCTTTTTATAAGACCTTTACACAATGAAAATAAAAAAATACAACTCTCGCCAAACAGTGCAATGGTTGTTTATCGCCTGCTACTTATGTGGGATCTTGGCCTGTGACGAGGACGTTGATATCCGTAGACCACCAAACGATCAGATCAGATCTGGAACTTCATTGATTCGCGAAGGAATCAAGAAGCCGAAGCAGTTATCTCGGCAACAGCGAGATAACCACTCTTCTCGAGATCACCGTAATGGGGCGATCTCAAGGAAATGAATCGGGGTGTGCAGATCTGACGAACTCTCCTTCTTTATACCGAAGAATTCGCTGAAGCCTCCTCATCCTCTCTGAAATTCGTAGCTCTTCAGTCCTCAATTCGGCATGGCTTCGCCAACGATCGAGAATTCCAGATCTAAAAAAATAAAGGCTCTGGAGCTGTATTTATAGGCTTTCAAAACCTCTGTTTTTGGATAAGAACGATCAATTCACTCTTATCTTCAGTTGTAACTACTTAACCACGTTCTTGGATATGTTCAAATCAGTTGGAATAAATCCAGGTGGTTAACGTCAAAAAATGGCTCAAAACAACCAAAAATAGCATTCTGGGGTCTGCGGACACCCGTGGGTCTCTCGGCTTTGCCGAGACACTCGCAGCCTGGCCGAGACACCTCTGGGTGTCTCGGCTTGGCCAAGACACCAGTGAGTATCTCGGGTATTTTAGCTCTAACTTTCTTATATGATCTCTAAATATCCTGATTCAAGATGCATTGGAAATCTGATAGAGAGATCTACAACTTTCATGTTTTGAATTTCTTCAGATTCTAATTGGATCATAGCCAAAATCATTATTATTCTCCGAGACACCAACACTGTCTCGGAATTCTGAGGCAGTTTGTACTATTTTTGGTTTTTGGCTTTATCTTTCTCATATGATCTCCAAATGGCCTGATTCAAGATACACTAGAAAGCTAACGAGTAGATCTACAACTTTAATGTTTTGAGTTTCTTCCGATTCGAAACAAATCATGGTCAAAATCACTCTACAAGGTCCAAGACATCTTTGGTTGTCTCGGATGGTGTCTCAGCTTGGCCAAGACACCTTAGAGTATTTTGGCCAACCCGAGACACCTTTGGGTGTCTCGGGTTGGCCGAGACACCTCTGGGTGTCTCGCCGAGGCCCGGAACGTAGTCCTGCTCGTTTTGTCCGTTTTCACCGTATCTTCATCGTCCGAACTCGGAATCATGCGATTCAAGATGCATCGGAAAGCCATCGAGAAGATCTACAAGCTCCCATAATTGAATCATCTATAGAGTGGATGGGACATGAAAGGCATTTTGTCTTTTGTAAGTAACACGGAGCTCCCGATCAGTTCGTTTCCTCGTTGTTCTGTAGTTCCGTTGCTTCACATAGTTCGTCGACCCACTTCATGCACTTGTCGATATCAAATGAGCTTTTGTGACTTGGATAGCGATGTTCATCATCTTTTCTCTGTCTCAAGCCGCGTGCGGGGACCTATAGGTAATTTTTGACGCCTACACACGGTAGAGACGTAATACTCCAAATGACTCTGGAATCCTTGTGCGTGTAACCACTACCAAGGTTACCAACAGCATACAAAGAAGGTAATTGTGTTACTCCACAAATGTGCATGAATGCCTTACAAATATTGTTGCTTGGTTGACACAAAAACACGAGGCGATCAATTGAATCCTCATCATCCCCAGACAAGAGGCAAATGTTAGGATCCTACCACATATGTTTTCTTAAGTTATTCCAAGTAAGAATAGCACTTTGTTTTATTGTTAACCATATGAAAGCTCTTAGGAAGTTCTTATATCCTATGTTGCTATGCTTCATACAATGGCAAAAGGGGAGGCTTTTCAATGAGGCGCCTGGGATCAATTTTGCAGCAAAAAAAATCAACATGATTAATGTCAAAAATGAATTACAAAATGAATCAGAAGCAAAAAAAAAAAAAAAGAAAAAAAGGAAAAAGAGCCAGTTATCCTTCTCTGGCTATCAAATTCTTCACTTAAACATGTAAGTGTCATTTTACATATCATCTCAGACCTTTCATACAAGAACTGCTGGCAATAAAGCAATCACACTTATTAAAAAGAAAACACACTTTTACTAGCTGTAATGTCCCATTTCGTGGAAAACGGTTTTGGAACTGTTTAGAACGTATTTGAATTGGTCAAACGCGAGGTTCGCGTTCTGAATGAGCTTCGCATCTAGCACATGACACAGAGGTGAGCTCCGTGTTTTGAACTTAGAATGCGGTGATGAGCTCTGCGTTTTGAGCTTGAAACGCGGTGATGAGCTCCGCGTTTTGTTGTTGAAACACGAGAATGACCTCCACGTTTTGTTGTTGAAATGCGGGAATGACCTTCGTGTTTTGTTGTTGAAACGCGGGAATGACCTCTGCGTTTGGAATTAGAAACGCAAAGGTTGACCTTCGTGTTTGGCCTTAAAGAGATCGTCAATTGTAATATCTTTTCTCAAGTTCTGCAAGGATCATCAGCTTGTAATCCTTATATTTGGTTCTTGAAGAAATGAAGATTCTGGAGTCCACCATCTTTCTTCTCCATCTTCACACTGATGAGGATCAGCTATCTGCAGTAATTTTTAGACAGCCTACTATGACTACTCCAGGAAGGTTTGGGTCTACTTTTTGAGACATAAAGATGATGTGCTTGTGACTTTCAAGCAGTGAAAGTCTTTGATTGAGAAGCAGACTGGGAGACTGTTTAAGAGGCTTAGAACTGATAATGGCATTGAGATTTGTGGAGGAGAATTTAATGAGTTATGCAAGAAGGAGGGAATCGTTAGACATCATACAGTCCCTCGTATACCGCAATAGAATGGAGTGGCAGAACATATGAATAGAACCTTATTGGAGAAAGCTCGTTGTATGATGTTCAATGCATGTTTAAGCAATGAATACTGGGCGGAAGCAGTGATTACGGCTTGTTACTTAGTGAATATGTTCAATGCATGTTTAAGCAATGAATACTGGGCGGAAGCAGTGATTACGGCTTGTTACTTAGTGAATCAGTCGTCATTTACTGCTATTAGTTGTAAAACTCCAGAGGAGGTTTGGTCCGGTAAGCCTACGCATTATTTTAATCTTAAAATATTTGGTTGCCCTGCATATGTGCATGTTAGTCAAGGGAAACTTGAGCCACGAGTGAAGAAGTGCATATTCATAGGTTATGCATCGGGTGTTAAGAGTTTTAGGTTGTGGTGTCCTAATCCGAAGTCTCCTAAGATTATTATTAGCCGTGATGTTACTTTTGATGAATCTATTATGTTCCACCAGAAATGATCATCGGTTTTAGTTGTTGATAACGCGCGCACTACAGTACATAAGGTGAAGTTAGAAATTCGTGATTCATCTCTTTCAGCAGGATAAGACTACGGGAGTTCAATAGCCAGACCCCGTTCAAGTAGATGAAGCACCTCAGCAGATGCAGGAAGAACAGGAATACACTATTGCTAGAGATCGATCTAGACGAGATATCCGACCACCGCGAAGATATGAAGATACGATAGCTTATGCATTGTCGGTTGACAAATTTGTGCCCTTCAGCTATTCAGGAGCTACTTCGGGTGATGATTCGCTAATATTTACGGTCGTCGTGCGGACAATTCAGTCGATTTGTTGAGGAGGCCTCTTTTAGGTGGCAAGTTCAAGACGGGCTTGGACTTGATCAATACGTGCCGCACTTAGATGCCCTGTGGGGCTATTAGAGAAGATGTAGTAAGTTAGCTTATTTTGGAGTGAGGAATCTTCAACGCATTTGAGGCAATGTGAAGATTTGTTATAAGTTGCCTCAAATACTCAAATTCATATTGCTTTGGTAGTTCCTTTTTAGGTTGGTTTGTTTTGATCAAGAGTCCTACTTACATTAGACTTTGCACAACCAATCATATTAGATGTTTGTTCCTACTTGGACTCTTATTGGGTTTTAGGACATGTGGAGTTCTATTCCTGTTAGAACTCTTATTCCTTAAACAACAATGAGCTGGGATCTTCAAGGCTATATAAGAACAGTCTTTCAAGCCAATAATCATCATCAATCTTCAGAGCACCAATCAAGAAGAGAAAGTTCTTTTGTGAAGTCTATTTGATATTCTTCTCTTTGTTCCTTTAGTTGAGAGTTGTATTAGGCTTTTGTGGTGTTATTTAGGATTGAGTGATTGAGAGATCCATTTTGTATTCCTCACAATTAGTAAAACTTTTCTCCTCCTTCGCCCGTGAACGTAGGCTATAAGCTGAACCACATATATCTTTGTGTTTGTGTGTTCTTGATATTTTTTGTGCTCTCGTGTGATTGATATTAGCTTATCCTGGGGAGTTTGTCTTGACACACTCCTTTATAAGTTCCTAGGGGATAAAACCTTGGCATACGCTCAAAGAAAGTTTTTCCTTTTTAAAAAATGAAAATAAACAAAATACAGACTATCTACTGAGTTGGGTTTAAGAAAAATCTATGTGGCAAAAGTAGATATAACGAATGTTTTAACCAACTAGGTATAAAATAAATTTTGGTCAAATTTTGAGTATGGAAGAAAATGTATCTACTTAATTAGAATGTAGTAGTTCTTAAAGAAAAGATATCATCATGGCCTCTTCAAATTTCACCCCCAGGTTACCAGGAGATTTTCATCCTTTCCATAACCATACAATTATGTCTTTGTGTCCAACGCGTAATCTTTTCACATTGCCAGTGTGATACACTGTAACAATCTTCAGACATGCAAACACCATGAAACAATAATTACAACTCAGGGGGTTTTCCTCTACAAATAGCGTACGTACTCAGTTGTTAGCTCTTCGCAAACCAAAAACCAACAAAAAAAAAAAAAAACTCAAAAAGGAATGGCCAAACTCAACATTTTGATTTTCCTCGCCCTTGCCATTGTTGCATCCTCGCTCTTCACTGAACAAGCAAATGCCGACTGCAACGTTGACTTGAACGCGCTGAGCGACAAGTGCACCAAATTTGTGAAGAAAGGCGAGCCGCCAGTTCTTCCGTCAGATGACTGTTGCCGGATGATACAGAAGGCTGATGCTCATTGTGTGTGTACCAAGATTACTCCTGATCTTGAGAACACAGTTAGTATGCCGCTGGCTATCATGGCGGCGAGCTTCTGTGGTAACCCTGCTCCTCATGGAACCATCTGCGGGAGTAAGTGAAGAACTAGTACTCAACTTTCTCTCTTTTGTTCTTTCGTAGTTCTTAATATATAGTAAGTGAATTTATACTTAATTTCTTGTTGTTTTCAGGTGTTAAAATTCCATAAGCATTATGGGAGAAACAAAGAAAAATAAATAAATAAAGGTGGATCCAGATACCAGATGTTTTATATGTCCACATACCGGATGTTTTATAGGCCACGAAGTTTGGACAAAAATAAATAAAATGGATGACTTGGAATTTATTAATGCTTAAATTTATGCATATGTTCATGGTTTTACTCAACTCTTTGTGCCAGCTATTTATAATGCATCTCTTTCTCTTGGATAGTCCGATGCATCGCTCAAAATCATCGATTCAGTTTTATGCGCAAAGTGTAATTATTTGATAACAACATAGAAATGAGTATAAGGGCAACACGAATGTGGTACGTATACGCAATTGAAAATAGCTATATTTCCTATCAAAATGTATTAAAGCCAAAATTCGATATGTCCTACTGGATAATGGATGATTTCTAAAGAGTTTGCTTCTTAAAAAAACCAAATACACACGAGTGGGCAGCCTGGCCCTTTGATGGACATGATAAGGGAGTAAAATTGAAATTTCACCGTCATTGCGTGGTTGAGAACTGACTGTTCGCATGCGGACGGTTCTGATAAGATTCACCTATAGAAAAAGGTAAGTTCTAGAATACCCCCTGAACCTTGGAATGATTTGCAGTAAACTATCATGAACTTTAAAAATTAGAGAAGATCCCGTAAACTTTGGGGAGTTTTCATTAAACCTCAGTAATCTTGCAGCTGAGTAAATGCAATTTGAATTCTTAGCACAAGCTATGAAAAATCTGCAAATAGTAATGGGCTCAAATATTAGCACACTAACAAAACTCCATTACATCTTAATCTTAGTTTACCCAATTCTATAACTTGTTCAAAATTAATTTCTCCAATCAAGGATACAATAACAAGATATAAAAATGGAAGGACCTCATACAAATTTCAATGCAATTAACTTCACTATATTAATAAAGATTTAAGTGGCTTAATATAGTAAAAAAAAAGGAGAATTTTTTTAAAGAAGACCCTTTTTGAAACTTTATTAGCAAAATCACCTATTTTTTTATATAATTAACAATATCGACATCTAATTAGCCAAAAAAGAGGTCAATTTTGTAAAAATGAAGCTTTAAAATACGCGAGACTACTAGTCCCGTGTATTTAGTAGTGCCTAATTACACCCTAATGAAGTTTAATTAGTCTAGTATATTTTTTAAAGTTTAATTAGTATATGATTAGACTACTAATTATACGGGACTATTAGTTTTGTGTATTTTAAAAACTATATTTGGCAAAATCGATAAAAGAGGTCGATGTTGCTAATTAAATCCACATAAGGTCTCTTTCGTTGGATAAACTTTAAAAAACGGTCTTTTAAAAAAAATCCCTAAAAAATGCCCAGCTAGTAATCGGCCCAAGTATGAGCCCAAAGCATAGGCCATCATTACAAAAGGGCCAATTTTATTCCTCCTGTTAATCAAGCTTCCTCCTGCTTCGCTTCCAAAGAGACTGATAAAATCCCGATGGCGGCGGCGGCGGCGATAACCCGGTGACCGTACCCTTCCCTCACCTCCTCCTCTGCCGGCGACGCTTCTCCGACGAAGTGAAGGGTTCCTTCCTCGACAAAGACGAGGTCACCGAACGAGTCGTCTCCGTCGTTAAGAACTTCCGAGAGGTTGATCGATCCAAGGTAAAATTACCATTATACCCTCAACTTTTTCTCCTATTTTTTTTTTTGTTAATTTGTAACTTGATGGTATAATTTTCTTTGTACATTTGAGTGATGGGTGCTATTTTGAGTCGGGGTTCACAAAATGTAAAATTATTCTTGAAATCAGCTCTGGGACACTGAATGTGGTATTGAAATTAGTTTCTTATTTGTGCTTTTGATGTCGTTAATAAATTTCCATTAAGCATTGCTGGATGATTGCTTGGTTGTAATTTTGTATGCATCTTATAAATAATGTTTGCGCATATGATTTTGGGGAGTGTTTGTTTGCATTTAAGTGAAAAATGAAAATGTGAATGTGGAATAGTAACTTGGTGTGTTTGTTTCATTGAAGGTGCAGGTGAAAAATGAAAATGGTTTAGGGTTGTTTACATATTAGTCCCTCAAATCTTCAACAATTCCATGTTAGTCCCTCAAATCTATGCAATTACTCGCTAGTCCCTCAAATCATAGGGTTATTGTAATTTGGTCCCTCAGTGACCAAAACACCCTCAGCTAGTATTTGATTAAGGGTCATTTGCATTTTAGAACCGTACAATTTACATCTTGTAAACTTTGATGCCTAAAGTTTTTTTTGACATTTTGATACCCTGAAATTTATAAATTTTTTAACTTTGATATTCAAATTTTTTTGACACATTGATACCACAACGTTTTCACAAATTTTAAGTTCCATACACCAAAGTTCCACATTTTTTAACTTTGATACCTCAAAGTTTACATAATTTTAACTTTGATACCCTAAAATTTGGGGTATCGAAATGTAAAAAACAAAATTTTGGGATATCAGGGTTAAAAAGAAATGTTAAGGTATCAAAGTTAAGAAGGGCCGTAAACTTTAAGGTACCAGAATGGCAAAACAAATAGGGGTATTAAAGTTAAAAAGGTGTAAACTCTAGAATATCAAAGTGCCGATAACCCTTTTTTTGAATAATATGAGTTTTAAGAGAGAAATCATAAGTAAGAGGTATTTTGGTCTTTGAGGGACCAAATTACAACATCCATTAGGATTTGAGGGACTAACGAGCAATTATTGAGATTTGAGGGACTAATATGGTATTGTTAATGTATATTTAGCTTCCCCTAAAGGCGTGATAAGATCATTAAGTGGGACCAGTGGTGGATCTAGAAAAACTCTGTTTTTGGGTGGTTGGTGGTGTGGGGAACGATAAGTATATATTTATCTAGAAATTAAAATATAGTAACAAACACAACATTTTTGACTAATGGTCTAAATTCTCAAGTAAAATGGGCTAAAAGTCAAATGGGATACAAATACTTTTAAATTACGGGTGAAATTTGTAAATTTCGAAGGCCATGCAATTTTTATTTTTTATCATCTTAGGGT